TAACACAATGATTGATGGTTAGGAAGCACAGTTATGGACACGGGACATAGTGAGGATATGGTAAAAGAAATATTTTTATATATTTTTATTTTCCATGTATCTAAATATTATAATCATAAACAACCAACTTAATAAAAATAAAAAACTAAAACTAAAACCAAATTTAAATTAGCCAGAGTCTAGAGGTCCATGTTGCATTAGGATCTAAGGATAGTTAGAAATCGGTCTCTTAACTTCAAAACTGTGTCTAAATTTGTGTAGTGTGGTGTTGTCGATAGTTTGATGAGTTCTATATTTTTTTAGAATTCAACCCTTATGTTACCAAATATTATAATATGACCCTCAAAGTGTATCCCTACATGTCCCTGTTGTGTCCTCTGAAGAAAAATAAATAAATTAATTAATTAAATGGCCACGCCAATAATTAAATGGACACGCCACGTGGCATGTCCCTTACTTGTCCGACACAGTTACGACACCTATTTTGTAGTATCGGTGCTTCATGGATTGAAGGGTATTTAAAGTGTGGGGTGATTTATTTGGCATGCAAGTTGTTTTAATTTTATGCCCATGGAGATGAAGAATTCGAACTCTTATAATTCTATGAGTCATGCATGCACAATCAGAATATGGCTTTAAGATTGCTTCGAAGTTTGTTTGCAAATATGTGAAAAAGACTTAATTTCTTGGAATTTGATAATCCTTGGTTGTATGAAAACAAGGGAGGGTGGTAATTACTCATGCTTCATTTAATGAGATGCCTGAAAGAGATTTCTTTAGTTGGGCCAATATGGTCCATGGTTATGCTGAATTAGGCAGGATTGACATTGCTAGGGCTTTGTTTGATAAAATGGTTGAAAAGGAAGTAATATCTTGCATTGCTTTGATGGGTGGGAATATTCAAAATAGATATTGCAAGGAAGGAAGCATTGAAACTTTTTTTGTGATTTGCAAAGTGGGGATAATTTGTCTCCAGACAACACCACTTCATCAATTGCTTTTTATGCAATTGGGAAATTAGAATGCATTGATGAAGGGGTATCAATGCATTGCCACATTAAGGAAAATGAGTTTATTTTGGGTAGAAAACTGGGTGTTGCCCCTCAGAGAAATGTATTCAAATTGCAGCAACATAGAGCATGTGGATATTGAAGAAGCATAAGAAAAACGTATTGACCATTGCAATGCTATGATTTGTGGGTTTGCTATTCATGGGTGGGGTGAACTGGGTTTTAAATTGTTTATAATGATGACGAACCAAATGATATCACATTGATTGGAGACTTAAATGCATTGATTGGAGACCAAGTGTATAAGTACCATGCATACATTTGAGAGAGAGCGAGAGAGCTCCTATCGATTTTCAATATGCGGTTGTAATTACAAAGAAAACTAAAGCAATAAATATGCAACACTTTAAAGAACTATTTATTTATTTATTTGTGGGGAACAAGTTAAATAAATGCCTATTGTTTGACAAATGAAATGAGAATTCTCATCAATTGTTATTACCAACTTGCAACCAGGGGCGGAGCTACATAGTGAGTTCAATTGAACCCACTCAACTTTGAATTTTTTTTAGAATTATATAAAATTTTAATTAAAATTTTTTAGAGGTTTTTGTAAATTGATACCACTAAAATTGTTAAAAAATAAATATGATGGTGTCAAAATAATTTACAAACATAAAGTTTATACAAAAATCCATTCAAAATGGTATGCCAATGATATTTTAAAATTATGAGGTAATGGTGAGTGTTTTATAAAAGAATGACCAAAAAAAAAAAAAAAAAGGAAACACAGTTACATCATTCTATATAAATATTGGATTTGGCTGTTTGGATTTGGTAGGCCAATTTTGGGGCAACTTTAATGAGTAGAATATTCATGAAAAAAATCAAGATGATTGGACATCAGTAACTATATGTTTGAATTACATAGGTATTGTAAAAAAAATGGATGGTTATTCTTAAAATTATATTTATCGTCCATTTTTTTAAAACAAATATAATTCAAATATATAGCTTCCGATATCCAATCATTTTGATTTTTTACATGAATATTTTACTCAACGAGTGTTAAAAAGAAAACGGTTCAAATCACCGAAATCAATCCCAAAATGGGCCTACCAAGCCCACACACTCTCTCAAGTTGTCAACTTGAGAGAAGCCAAACCCATAAATATTTTGTTTATTAATTTTGTTAAGGGTACATTAAATACTCCTAACTATCTCCACTATCATAGAAAATATGAAAGACTAAATATATTTTGTTAGAGACTAAACTATCCTTTTCTCTAATTCCTTCTATTTTAACATTATATACTTCTCATAATAGACTATGTTTGTTTTTTTAACATTTTTTTTTATCATAAAAGTAAATGCCTTTTTTTTTTTAAATAAAGGACATATAAAAATAATTTAAAAATTAATATTTTTTTATCATAGAAGTAAACGCCTTCTAAAATTTAAAAAATAAAAATTATAAGGTGCAAGGAAAATAAAGGACATAATTTTTTTTTTTTACTTTTTGTATGTCCTTTATTTTTATAACAAATATCAAAAAATTATATGCCCTTTATTTTTTTTCAATTTTTAGATTCATTTTTCTTGCACCATATAATTTAATTATGATTGAAAATAGAGGAGTAAATGCCTTCAAAAAAATTTTAAAAAAGTAAATGCTGTAAGGAAAGTAAAGGACATAATTTTCATGATTTTTTTTTAATTTTCATGTCCTTTATTTTATAACAAATACAAAAAATTATATGCCCTTTATTTTTTTTTCAATTTTTAGATTCATTTTTCTTGCACCATATAATTTAATTATGATTGAAAATAGAGGGTATTTAAATTTTTTAAAAAAAAAAACACAAAATGTTATTTAAAAATAAAGGTATTTAATTTTATGATAAAAAAATGTTTTAAAATTAAAAGAAAAGAGCTCCATTATGAGAAGTATATAATGTTAAAATAGAAGGGGTTGGTAAGAAGGGTAGTTTAGTCTCTAGCAAAATATATTTATAATCTTCCCTCTTTTCTATGATAGTGGAGGTGATTAATAGTATTATTTAATGCATGTCTTAGGTCACTTGTTGCAAAACACTTTGTTTATATATCATTATCTTTTTATAAAAAGTGAAACTTAGCTAAGAGTTTATCCTAATCACAGCCTTTGGCTTAATGGTTATGTAGCGCCACTTTGTGGAGTAAAGTTACGGATTTCAACTTTTATGGAGAGAAATTTGATATCGTTTGTGGTGTTATACCCCTAGGAATTGTAGGTAGATTATTTCTTATCAAGTTTGGGCTTTGTGTATTGTTAGACGCGGTTATGGTTATTGAGCTTGGTATATTGTTAGACTTTAATTTTCTAGTTTGATGTAACAGTTATCATCTATCTATCTTCTATATCTATACTATTATTAAGTGAAAGCCTCAATTAGTGTAGTGAAACCTTTGCTCTCCTTAGGCCATGTGGCATTATTTTTTATTAAAAAAAAAAATACACAAAGAGATGGGTAAGGCTTGAACCCATGACCATAGGTTTAATATAAGACTCATACCACTTAAGCTAAGTACATATTATAATATTATTTTCTTTTATTTTTACTTATTTGAATTGCATATGTATTGTGTGTACCACCCACTAGTTATATTTGTAAGTAATCTCCTACTGATTGATTAAAAAAAAAAAAAAAAGTTAAAAATATCCATTATGTTACATGGACTATCCGTTCTACTGTTATAACACTCAAATGTATGACACAAGTGTATGGCCCAATCAAAGATTTATATGACACCTACACATTATGTTACATGGACTATCCAAAATAAATCAAATATTCGTGTCGGACTCCTAACCCTCAAACAAGGGTGTGGGATATGTGTCCAATACTTTCCATTGGACATTTCGCATATATTTGTATTTAAAACTTCTTATATGTATCATTTGTTGTGTATGGCTATAAAACACCTTTTTGACGCTATATGTTACATATTATACCATTTTATCTCACATAATAAATTGAAAATATAAAAATATGAGCCAAATCTGCACACCCGTAAATTTCATATTTGATGAGTCCGACCTCTAAATACGCACCGCACCCAATACTCATACCCGAGTCCATGTAATTACAAGTTGTGAAAGTGCACAATTTACACATTCTCATAGGGCTAGGGTTATTGTTTCCCCATCAAACACATTAGAATTTAGAACAGATCGATCAACTTTCCTGGCCATATAGGTTATTTTTACCAATTATATAATAAAGCTTTACATTTAAAAAGCAAATAATAAACATTAGATGAAGGTAGTCCAAGCAATCCACTTATCAAAAATATGGTGTATGCAATATTATTACAAACACAAAAGACTATACAGCACGACCAATATAAAAGTTCATTTATGTAGATAACCATCTAAAAATCCAATGACGAAACTGTTTTCCAGAGAACATGACTCCATAATTCTATTTCCAAAAAATTAATGAACCTCATCTTCAAAAAGCTCTCCTGCAGTATTGGTTACTGAAATAGATATGTCTCCACACAGTTATATGAGATTTTTTTCTACAATATTTCTTTCTGCCTTTTTTCCTTTCTTCTTTTTAAAGTGCTAGAGAGATAAACGGAACACGAATGCAGTATACTTCTTAGCTATTTGATTTGATTTTCTTTTCTTTTATTTTTTCACAAACTTTTTAACCTCTCCTTCTTGTAGATATTTCAACCTTTTTTTTATATGAAACTTTAACCTACCATTTGGCCTAAAAAAAAATAGTTATTAGTTGATTTTCATAGATGTTAAAACCGATGCATCTTTCTTGCAGAACCTTCGCCTCTGTTCTCTCTTTCAAACCCTTTATCTCTTCAACATTATCAGTCTTCTAGTCGTGGTATAATATGGGTAAGGATGTTAAAAGTCCACAACAATATAGTTTTATTGATCTGAAAGTTCACCAGTGAAATGAAGTATAAAAAATGTAAACGGAGAATATCAATGCCTAAATAAACAATGCTCAGTTAAGCAATGAGTTATGGTTCACAAAGTAGATTTATAAATGCATCTACAAATTATGTCTTTGCACGATTTATATATTATGATCCAATATATATACATGTCTAGACTTTAAGGGGTGTTCCAGCAGTGTGCATGGTGCATGCTCAAGATATTCTTCAGTGAGTATACTCTGCCATTTCACTGAAGTATTTATATTTCTATTTCATCAGTTTGAATTTAGTTACTTTCTAATTGAGTTACACACCAGTCCTTCTCAACCATGAGGGTCTCTGCTCTGCACTACTCATGCCATGTGTAGTGTGCTTTTCAGAGGACATGCATAGATGAATCCGCATTCCTAAACCTCGAAGTCTTGACTCTTGACAGGAATGTGAATTTCTGCCAGTGCATGAGCATGATATTCTACAGTGGACAAACTCTGGACCACTTCACTGTCATAACTACCTTGTCAGACTTATGATAGCACTGATATTTCTTTGTTTTTTTTTTTGTTTTTTTTTTTTTTAAACAGTTACTTAACCCACATGACTGTTTCTCTTGACCATGATATGACCAGATCAGGAATGCATGTTGATAAGAACTAACACAGAAACAACCCATACCTTTCTCTTGAAAATCCTTATCAGTTTTTACAAACCCTGCAACCAAAGCCCTTGGCAATGCTGCAACCCACTCATCTCTGTTGAGATCTGATGGAATAGCAGCCAAAACATTATTCAAGAGATTCTCCTCGGAGTATATAGCAGCAGCAGACCCATTGTGTCCATCAAATATCTGCAAAATAAGATAGTAGAGCAAACCATGGAAATTTTAAACAAAACTACAAAAAATAATGAAATAAATAAGGTAACTAGAATTAGTGATAAAGATGGCACGCCAGTCTCCAAAGATTGCAAAGGGGGTAATCTGCAATGATTGACATCCATTAAATGAAATGTGCAAGCAAAGATAAAGACTAATGATCAGGTTGATGGCAGATAGTAAATGAACTATAAAGCTGAACTATATCTTACAGTTTCAAATAAAATATACAGAAGTATAACAGATTATATGGCAGATAGTAAATGAACTATAAAGCTGAACTATATCTTACAGTTTCAAATAAAATATACAGAAGTATAACAGATTATATGGCAGATAGTAAATGAACTATAAAGCTGAACTATATCTTACAGTTTCAAATAAAATATACAGAAGTATAACAGATTATATGGCAGATAGTAAATGAACTATAAAGCTGAACTATATCTTACAGTTTCAAATAAAATATACAGAAGTATAACAGATTATATGGCAGATAGTAAATGAACTATAAAGCTGAACTATATCTTACAGTTTCAAATAAAATATACAGAAGTATAACAGATTATATGGCAGATAGTAAATGAACTATAAAGCTGAACTATATCTTACAGTTTCAAATAAAATATACAGAAGTATAACAGATTATATGGCAGATAGTAAATGAACTATAAAGCTGAACTATATCTTACAGTTTCAAATAAAATATACAGAAGTATAACAGATTATATGGCAGATAGTAAATGAACTATAAAGCTGAACTATATCTTACAGTTTCAAATAAAATATACAGAAGTATAACAGATTATATGGCAGATAGTAAATGAACTATAAAGCTGAACTATATCTTACAGTTTCAAATAAAATATACAGAAGTATAACAGATTATATGGCAGATAGTAAATGAACTATAAAGCTGAACTATATCTTACAGTTTCAAATAAAATATACAGAAGTATAACAGATTATATGGCAGATAGTAAATGAACTATAAAGCTGAACTATATCTTACAGTTTCAAATAAAATATACAGAAGTATAACAGATTATATGGCAGATAGTAAATGAACTATAAAGCTGAACTATATCTTACAGTTTCAAATAAAATATACAGAAGTATAACAGATTATATGGCAGATAGTAAATGAACTATAAAGCTGAACTATATCTTACAGTTTCAAATAAAATATACAGAAGTATAACAGATTATATGGCAGATAGTAAATGAACTATAAAGCTGAACTATATCTTACAGTTTCAAATAAAATATACAGAAGTATAACAGATTATATGGCAGATAGTAAATGAACTATAAAGCTGAACTATATCTTACAGTTTCAAATAAAATATACAGAAGTATAACAGATTATATGGCAGATAGTAAATGAACTATAAAGCTGAACTATATCTTACAGTTTCAAATAAAATATACAGAAGTATAACAGATTATATGGCAGATAGTAAATGAACTATAAAGCTGAACTATATCTTACAGTTTCAAATAAAATATACAGAAGTATAACAGATTATATGGCAGATAGTAAATGAACTATAAAGCTGAACTATATCTTACAGTTTCAAATAAAATATACAGAAGTATAACAGATTATATGGCAGATAGTAAATGAACTATAAAGCTGAACTATATCTTACAGTTTCAAATAAAATATACAGAAGTATAACAGATTATATGGCAGATAGTAAATGAACTATAAAGCTGAACTATATCTTACAGTTTCAAATAAAATATACAGAAGTATAACAGATTATATGGCAGATAGTAAATGAACTATAAAGCTGAACTATATCTTACAGTTTCAAATAAAATATACAGAAGTATAACAGATTATATGGCAGATAGTAAATGAACTATAAAGCTGAACTATATCTTACAGTTTCAAATAAAATATACAGAAGTATAACAGATTATATGGCAGATAGTAAATGAACTATAAAGCTGAACTATATCTTACAGTTTCAAATAAAATATACAGAAGTATAACAGATTATATGGCAGATAGTAAATGAACTATAAAGCTGAACTATATCTTACAGTTTCAAATAAAATATACAGAAGTATAACAGATTATATGGCAGATAGTAAATGAACTATAAAGCTGAACTATATCTTACAGTTTCAAATAAAATATACAGAAGTATAACAGATTATATGGCAGATAGTAAATGAACTATAAAGCTGAACTATATCTTACAGTTTCAAATAAAATATACAGAAGTATAACAGATTATATGGCAGATAGTTTCAAAATTCCTCCTTACTCCCTCTTCTTTGAAAATTAAATTTTCTTTCAAAGTTCAACAATCAGCTCAACTTAAATATGCATACCACAAATTAAAACCAACTTCCTGTCCATCCACTAAAAACAACCAATCCCCAAACTAATGCTTTAATAACATTAATCTCTCGCTCTCTCTCTCCACAGTTAATGTAAACAAGCCGATGAACTTTGTCATAACATCAAAAATCCAAGCAATATGTCTTGAATAACTCCTCGCTCTATATTGGCTAAACCTCTAATATTGATACCATAATCCTTCTTCCTAGGTTTGCTATCACACTCTTAAACAGTGTTACCGGAAAATGTTGATACCCTAGAGAATTACATTTTGGAACGCACATTCCGAAACATGATACATTTGATTCTAAAACAGTAAATTTGGCAATCCAAAGCGATCCCAAAAGTTTGTTCCAATATATTTCCTTTAGGTTTCATTATGAGTAAAAAAAAAAAAAAAAATCAAATATAATGAGCTAAAATCTAAGGTGAATGTAATTTTAACATGACAAAACATATTTTTTATCATAATGTTCATAAAAATGTGTTGTGATATGAGTAATTTGGAAAAAAAACCTACATTTTATTGGATGCCTAATTGTTAAAAAATTCACTAGACTATAGTATCTTAAATTCTAATAAAAGTGTACAATCCTACCACAATTTAGAGCACATGGTGTACTGCGTTTCCATTCTCGTTCTACGTACCAGAACAAATCACGTTCCAGGTAACATAGCTCTTAAATGCAACAAAGCAGCATAACCGCATTGGTTTAGAAACACGAAAGATTTCCATAAATATAAAAGACATGAAAACATACCCGAAAACAGAATATGTAGAAACATCATCTCCTGCAACGACACGTTGGCATTCCGTCTTGACAAATGTGAAATCCTCCCCTTTCTTACTTTGGCAAGCCTGACCATGAGAAATCTCTGGCCTCTCAATCTTCTCATTGGCCAACTCACGATTGAGCAACACAGAAAGCGGGACCGTCAGATGTTCACCCTTAGAGGACATTGTTCAGTTAATCCTCCATGCGCTCTTGTTCCAATCAAATCCACACAAAAATCCTAACCCAAACAACAAAGAACACATCATTCGAAGCTTTTTAACCAACAAATCCAACCAAAATACATACAAATCTGATTAGAAAGACTTGAAACAAAATTATCCAGATCGTCAAAAGAAATAACTGCACGAAGAATGGAAACAAGCAATTTCATGACCAAGAAGCATATATAAATAACTCAGGATACAAGAATTTACAACTTAATTTACGAAAGTGCAATGCAAGTCACATTGTTTGTTTGTAGATAATATGCTTTCGTTTAAATGCGATGAATAGGAGGCGAGAATGATTGAGAAAGAAGGAGGAAGATGGAGGAAAAGAAAAAAGAGAAAAGAAAAAACTTACAGAAATAGCGTTCGTTGGCGCAGCAGGAGGAGGAGGAGAGAGTGAGTATGTATGTAAGTGTGTGTTTTTTTTTTTTTTTTAAACTCATTAGAGCTATTAGTGGTTCAAAAATTAGTGGGATAAATCACCACTCTTTTATTTTTTTATTATTTTTTTTGTCATTCTCAATGTATTAGTGCTATTAGTAGTGTATTTTTTAGTGGTCTAAATTATTATTGTATAACAAATTAGGTGTGAGATTTTAATTCTACTATTCAAATCTTAATTTTTTGATTTGATTTCAGTTTTAACCTTCTATTTATTTTCGTTAGCTTATTACCTAACACAAGAAAAAATTCCATTTTTACGTGGCACTCAGGTAGATATGACAAAATATTTCCATTCATCGGTTCTCGACACTCTTTAATTTTAATAAGATGGGTTCCGGAATGATTAAATAGGGTAGAATTGATTTTATGAAAAAAAAAATTAAAAACCCAATTGAGTTCTGGGTAAGGGAGAGTATTTTTCATCCGAACTCTACCCAACCCACAAATGTAAAAATAAATAAATAATAATATTGCATATATAATGTGTATAATATATTATTAATTTTATAAAATATATATAATATTATTAAGTTTTTATTATATTATATATAATATAATTTTAATATATGTGCAATATATATTCTTTTTAAGGGCATTCGATCCATAAATTCAATGTTAAATTTTTGTTGGCCAAAAATCTACTAGCTAAAGTAGGAAAATTCTATTTTCACACATTTAATTATCTCAGTATACATATTCTCTCAACATATACACTTATTAATTTGATTATTAATTAATTTTCTCAATCCACTCACTAAATGTTACAATTATATCATTCACTCATAATCATTGTACACACATTACTCAACCCTCCTTTTCACACACTTGTTGAGTGACCTTGCTTCCAAATTTATAGACCCAATGTAAATCCACATGAAGACCATTCAAGACCACAATGTGAACTGAAGTGAAGACAAAATATTTCATTGAAGACTCTATTGAACCTCCATTAAAAACACCATTGAAAACCATCCAAAAATATTATTGAAGATGAGGCATCTTTTCATTTTGTTATTTCATTTGCCATTTCTAGATCTCTGTGCACTCCATTGTCACAAAACCCTCATTTTTTTTTTAATGTTTTTGGTTTGGAGATTTCGGCACTAGTTTTCCAAAATTATACATTTAACACAAAACTTAACTTCATAATAAAAGTGATTAGTTCAACAAATTTGTTCCCAAAAAAAAAAAAATTTGGCAGTTGATGTCTGAATATAATGAAACAATTCAATAGTTGATGTCCACATATAATGAAATAATTGGGTAGTTGATGTTTGAACATAATGGAATAATTCGACACTAGTTGTCAAACTGAAAACTGTGAAAGGAAAAAGAAATTTTTTTCACAAAAAAACTAACATTTTCATCACTAATAGAGTATAAATTTAGAGATTAAGGCAATATGAGAGTTGTTATGAGAGTATTGCTTTGCAAGCCATAGAAGAGTATAAAGTGTGCAGCAAGCAAAATGACAACAATGGAAAAACTATGGTTTAATTAATTTTTTTTTACTCAAAAGGTGTACATTACGATTTTTTTTTTTTTTTTTGTTTTTAAATGTGTACATTAAAATAGTTTTCATATAATGTTATGGGTGCAGTGATTCCTTATTGATTCATTTTAGTTTAGGGTATACTGTGTGTAACGCCCTAAAAAAAAACAACAATTAAACCCATCAGATAAGACATGCATGTGCAGTTTTAACATATAAAACTAACCGCATTCTTTTATTCAATCTAGAGTTCCATTTACATAAGTATTAACATGTTTAATATTTCATAACAAAATGCCCTATGGGCTTACGCTTCCAAGTTAACACTTGGTTACAACAAAAAAGATATATAACTCCGTTTACACATAAAGCCCTTGGCTTGAAGTATACATGTAATACACAAAAGTTAAAACGGACAAACTTGTCCGCCTCAAGTCCCTCCCAAGCTATGTCCTTGGAAGGTGGCATTGCTACCTTGCACCTGGAAAATGATATTCCCATAAAGAGTGAGACCACAGCCCATAGTAGAAATACACTAAAGACCAACCATTTGCGGGGACAATGACTAAAATATTAGCAATGGATAGCTGGAATCAAAACACTGATACAAATCACATAAATCACATATTATGTCCTTTACCACAACATTATTGAGTCTAGTTATCTTTTCATTTTCCCTTTTTTCAACGAATAAGCAGCTAGCTCTATTCATCATTTTCCACAGGATATGTTTTATGTTAAAAGAAAAAAAACTAATTATTCTCACATTCAATAAGGCCAATCTTTAAAAAGCTGAATATCACCATTCTCAAAAACAAGAATATGTGGTATAAAACAAAAAACCCCAAATTAATCCCCACATTTCAACAGCATAAGGCCAGTATAAGCTGTATCCACACCTTTCACAAAAAGATAAGCAATATGAGCTCTATCTTCACTTCTCTAGGACTATCTCTCTCTTTGT